ACCTCTCTATTCGAGTTGTTAATAATAAACACTAAATTAATTAATTCTATAATTATTATTTCTTATTACACTAGAATATAGCAATATAGCGCAGCACTTTATAACTCTATTTGTTATCAGTTACTGGGCTTACGCTGAGTAATATTTTTTTATTTAATAATTATATTTTTTTTTATTTATTAATATTAATATTTATAATAACAATTTACGTTAATAGTAACGCTAGTGCGTTACAGTTACAAGTTCAATTATTATTTATACATGTCAATAATATTATGATTGGTAAATAATTTAATTTAACTTAGTTTACTAATCACTAAATAAAATATATTTAATTAAGTATTTAACTATATAATTAATTATAAAATAATGAAACTTAATGTACGAAATTAACAAAAGATTTTATTTGATTAGCCGAAATTGCTAGCTGTTTAGAGATACGTTACGTAACCAAAGAATTATCATTGGATAGGCTTGAAGTTATCATGTATCTGTTACAGTTATGGCTCGAGGAATTCAAAAAAAAAATTATATAATATTAAAACACAAAAAAATAATTTTATTCTTTCACAATAATTTTTATTTATTTATTATATTTTTATTTTAAATTTTATTTTATTTTTATTATTATTTTTATTTATTTATTTTATTTTTGTTTATTTATTTTATTTTTATTTATTTATTTTATTTCTATTTATTTATTTTATTTCTATTTATTTATTTTATCTTTATTTTATTTTTATTATTATTTTTATTTATTTTTATTTATTTTTTTATTTATTTATTTATTTTTTTTTTATTTCTTTATTTTTATTATTTCTATTTTTATTTTCTTATTTTCCTCTCCCCTAAAAAGGGGTTCCAAGGTAGTCAATTTATATCTTTTTGAAGATATAAAAGTAGCAAAGCCTCTGGAAGTAGTTGAAGAGATGGAAAAACAATAGATTTTTAAATCTTATTGATTATTTCCTTATTGTAATAAATAGAAATTTTATTATTTCCTAATATTCAAATTAACCAAAATAAATCTATAATATAAAAGATGCATTATAAATAAGAATTAAACAAAAAAAAGAGAAGCAGTATTACAATAAAATTGAATACTTTAACTTAATTTTGATACTAATTTAATATGTAATCTTATATATTAATTTGAATGACATAATAGAAAATAAAATATATTTATTAATATATGAAAAATCTTTTACAATTTTAAATACAGAAAATTTTATTTTATTTATTTCTTTCATTTCAATTATTTCTTAATTCGAAAGACAGAAATATTGATAAAGTTATTTAAGTTGTTTATATACAGGAATTATTCCTTATTTAGAAGAATAATACTAAAAGTAATTAGTACTATGTTATTGATAAACTCTTATAAATTTAATTTATCTTTATAAGGAATGAACATAAATTTAAATTAAATTTTATGTATAAACTTAAATTTTCAGATCAAATAATATAGTAAAATTGTTAATGTAAAGAATACATAAATTTATTAATATTTTAAAAATCACCTTGACTATATTAAAAGGTTTTTAATAAGAATCAATTTTTTACTTCATTCTTTATCATGTTAAAATTATTGTGTAATAATCATACTAAGTTCTATTACTAAATATGATTATTAACTTCAACTTAATGACTAATTCATTAAGTTGAGAAATAAAATAAAAATAAAAATTTTACCTAAAAAGAGAGTTTATTATAAAATTAATTATAATAACAACACAAAAAGTAAAAGAAGGAATATTTGGATAAATTTGGTTTTAAAAATATGTTTTTGAATAAAATGTTTTATTAATTTATTAAAGTTTAAAATATAAAATTGCTATTATTATAACTATATTTTTATAATAATAACTCTTGATTTCTTAAAGGGAAATCAAGAGCCTTATTTATATTTTTTTATGGAAATAAGGTTAAATAAAAAGGGTTTTCTAATCTTAAAAAATATCTTATCTAGAAAAAGATTAGAAGAAAAAACTAGATAAGTTTTTTGATCGATATTCTATTCATATCGATCATCGTATATATTAAGTAAAACCAAATATATTATTTTATATTTGGATAAAACCTTAATATATCGATTTCCTAAATTTTAATTTAGATCATCAAATAAAAGGAAAAATCAATAATAACCGGAATGATCTAAATTATTCTATTTTTCTAAATATTATTTTTAAAATCTAATCTAAACTTATTAACATAAAACTATCTTTAAACTAGAATACAGAATTATAAAAAATACAGAAACTTACTAATTGTTCTTTTAAATGTACAATGTAAAAAATAAATAAAACTAATGTTTACATTAACTTGATAATTAAACGAATAACTAAATAAAATTAATAATATTAATAAGTGTACATATAATAATTATTTAAATAAATTTTCTAATATTATTTAAGTGTATGTATAATTACAATTATAATAAATTTGATAATAATATCTCAATGTATAAATTAATTATAATTTAAATAAATTTATAATTATTATCAATAATTATAAAGACTAAGAAATAATAATTATTTATTAGTAAATAATTATTATTTCTTACATATTTATACGTGACCACTATAAAAATGGTATTTAGGTAGATTCTTTAGGTTAAAGAAATACTTAAATATTATTGGTCAATAATAATTTTATAATAATATATATAGTTTTAGAATAATAATTATTAAACGGAGAATTCTTTTATTTATAAGTATATACTTATGATAAATTAATTCACATAAATAGCTATTTTTATATTTTATTTTAGTGTAGTTAAAAAGAGATATTATGTATATTTGAGATAATTAATTATAATATTTATGTAAGAGAGTAATAATAATAATTGATGTAATAATTAATAATTAATAATAAATAAAGAGAACATTAAAAAGATATAATTATTACTTTATTTTGTATTATTGTATGTGTTATTTCTATTTAATATTAGAATATATTATTTCGTCATAAATCCTTATTGTCATTGCCCATAAATAAATATTAATTTAGATACATAAATAAAATATCGTATCAAATTTGGTGGAGAATCCGGGCGTGACAATAGCAAAATAATATGAAAATAATATTAATAAAATAATACTTCAATAAAATAAATGTTATTTAGTATATATATATATATAAAAGAAAGACTTTAATTATTTTAAATTAATCACTAATAATTATAAAGATGAATGTTTTTAAGATATTAGGTACATTACCATTATTAGAAAATTATAATAATGATATCAATGAATGGATAAAAGAATTAACAGAGTCATTTGAATTATGGGATATAAAAGAACAAGAAAGAAAATTTATTTTATGTAAAGAATGCGTAAATAAAAAAATTAGGTATGTTCTTGATAAATTAAAGGAAGAAAAGAATCAGGTTCCAAGCTTAAAAGAAATAAAAATAGCATTAGAAGAATATCTAGAAATAACACCAAGCCTGAAATATTGGAACTTAATTAATTTGAAAATTAATTCAAAAGAATCAATTAGTAATTTTAATTATAAATACTTAAGAAAATATAATGATATTGATAATAATATAAAGAAATTAATTACTGTTAATAATTATGTTAATTCAATTAAGTCTAGAATATATCCTTGTATAAGAATATTAGAAGAAGATATCGAAGATATAAACGAAGCTCTCAAATATGCAGAAAAAGTTGAAAGAATTGAAAAAAAATTAAATTTAAATTTAAATAATATTTATAAGAGTAATAAACAGAAATGGAATAATAATAATTTCAAAATGAATAAATCAAATAGTAATAAAAACAATAAGAATAATAATATTATGTGCTTTAGATGTTATGAGTTAGGCCATAAAGCAATTAATTGTAGACACTCATTTAAAGAATTAGCGGAATTAGAAAGAACTGGAATTTTGGAAATAAATAAAAGAAGAAATTTTATACCTGGAATCCATAATAATTATAATTATAAATTTAATTTATATGATAGAAATAAAAACTATAATAATTATTATCGTAGAAATTATAATTTAAATAGTAATATTACTGAAAATTATAATAATATGACTAGTTTTGGTAAAAAGCATAATGTGAATAGAGAAATTTATAGAAATAATTATAATTTAAATAATAATTTTGGTAATAATAATTATAATAATTTAAATAATTATCTATATAAAAGTAATTATGATTTACATAAAAATTTTGGTACCAATAACAATAACAGTAATTTAAATGAGAATATAAATAAAATAAAATATAGAATCAGCAATAATCAGGGTATAAATTATAATAAGCAAGGAAATAAAGATGTTAATATTGGAAATGAAATTAATTTCAACAATAATTTAAATACTAATTGTGTAGAAAATACGTTTAATTCAAATATAAATAATATTCAGGATAATATAATTGGAAATAATATAAATAAAAACAATAATGGATATAGTAGAAACATAAATTCATTAGGAAATAATAATAGTTTTAATAATAACAATACTAATAACAATACTAATTATACAAATAACGAAAATAAAAATGTTAATAATGTTATTGAAATAAATTATAATAAAAACAATAATAATAATAATAACAATAATAATAATAATCATAAAAAAAAATAATAGGAAAAAAAAAATAAATAAATAATTTAATTATGATGAAGTATTAATAAATAAATAATTATATATATATATAACAATAATTTAAATTAAATTAATTCGAAATTTCAAGATTTCGAATTTCAAAAATTAAAATAATCATTAATTCAAAAATTTAATTTTTTTTTTATAAAAAAAAAAAAAAAAAAAAAAAAAAAAAAAAAAAAAAAAAATTTAATAAATCCAATAATAAATTTTAATAAACAAAACAAAACAAAACAAAAAAAAAAAAAGAAAAAAAAATTTATTATATTGTTATTGAGACTTCAGGGGACGAAGTCTAATAATATATATAGATATAGATTTATATATATAGATAAATAAATTTTATTCTTTTATCAAAAAATGTTTGAAAAAGTGGAGTTGGCGAGAATTGAATTGAACCCGCGGCTTCTCGCATGCGAAGCGAGCACTCTACCACTGAATTACAACCCCTTTGTTAAAATTATTGGTACGTTACTCACTAAAATAGAATAAATTATTAAAAATATAAGAAAATAAATAATTCTTTAGTTATTTTATTATAATAGGTATAAGGTTTAATTAGTATATAAAAATATAATATTAATAAAAATAATTTTAATTAATAGATAACCAATAAGAATTAAGATAAATTATAGTATAAAAATAAGTGAAAGATAAAATATTAACAAAGGAGGAACTTAATAATTTAATATCTTTAAAGAATATAATAGTTAGAATAGGAATTATAAAATATTTATTCGGGTGAATAAATATTTAGGATATTTTGGTTAATATTATTATTAAAATATAAATTTAAAGATATAATAAAGTTATAATAAATTTAAATGTACTTATTTAAAGAACAAAACTTATAAATAAAATAAAGACTTAAAAGTAACACATTATTATTTATTAAAATTTATTATTAATTTTGTGTTATAATTTTTTTATTTATTTCTTTTATTAGAATATATTATTTTATAGTTTTACAACTTGCTTTCCCCAAATCATATAAAAGGTACAATATATAAAAATAACGTACCATTATTGTTACGAAACAATACTATATATTAATAATTTTTAAAGTCAGAAAAATATTTGTAAAGGATATAACTCGATGAGCTATATAAGCCTCATTACCATAACAAATTAATCATTATTTAGTATGATCATACGCCTCAAAATCCTTTTACAATATAAATATATATTATTTATTATTATTAAATAATAATAATAATAATAAAATTGTTGAATATAATTTATACTTTTTAAAGTATAATTAATTGTTTATTTTTTATTTATTATTATCTAACTTTTTAAACTATTGTTTATTATTTTATTTATTATTATATAACTTTTTAATTGTTTATTTTTATGTATAAAAGAATAGTGAATTAAATGTTTTAAATAATCTTCGTAAGATTATTAATATTTTAATAATCTGATAACTTCATTCATTAAAAAATATTATTAAATAAAATCAAATAAAATAATAAAATAAAAATATAATAAAATTCTATAATAATACTGATAAAATAAAATTTAATTATCATAAGGAAGTTATTAGTTTATAGCATTCCAACCAAGTTATATCAAAACCAAATATAATCTTAACAATATTATTTTATATTTTATATTTTTATTATTAAATTTATTATTTTATATTTTATATTTTTATTATTAAATTTATTATTTTATATTTTATATTTTTATTATTAAATTTAATATATATTTATATATATATAATTATGTTATATTAAGAATAATATTAAAAATGATTAATTAGAAAAATATTTTTAACCAATTAAATTTATATATTGAACTATAAAAAGACAAATGTAAAAGAAATAATTTTAAAAACTCTCTCTTAAAAATTTTAGAAGAAATAAAACAATAAAAATAACAGCAAGTCTTAAGAAGTGTTGGTTTTGATTTTGTTTGTGTTATTTGTTGTTCTTGGTTTATTTTTAGGAGTTATAAATATTAATTGTTATGAATATACAGTTCAGAATTATTAAATAGTATTTTAAAATCCTGTACCATTATTGTGTAAGAATCTATAATTATTTGCTAACAAATAATTATATTTTCTTAGTTAAGTTATTATAACTATAACTTTATTTAATTACACATAATATTTATTATATTTATTTAATTTAATATTCATTAATTTAACAAATTTTATTTAATTAATAATATATTTACAATATGTTAAATTCTCTACTGTAACTAATGTATTTTGTATTGTATTTTATTCTGTATTTTATAATGTATTCTGTATTTTATAATGTATTCTGTATTTTATTAACTATTTAATTTTATATTTTAATACAAGGATAAATTATATGATCGAAATATCTTTTATTATTTTATTCTTTTATTTTCGATCATTAGATTGGAAAATCGGTTAATTAAGATTTTTTCCAATTACTTTTTAGAAGTAATCGGTTTTACTTAATTAATGCGATGATCGATATGGATAGAATATCGATCGAAAACTTATCTAGGTTTTTCTATCTAATCTTTTCCTAGATAAGAGATTTGTTAAGATTAGAAAACCCTTTCTTATTTAACCTTATTTTCATAAAAAAAATATAAATAAGGCTCTTGAGTTCTCTTTGAGAAATCAAGAGTTATTATTATAAAAAACATAGTTATAATAGAAACAATTTTATATTTTTAACTTTAATAAATTAATAAAAATATTTTATTCAAAAACATATTTTTAAAATCAATTTATACAAACAATTCTTCTCTTACTTTTTGTGTTATTATCATAATTAATTTTATAATAAACTCTACTCTAAAGGTAAAAAAATTTATTTTATTTTATTTTCTCAACTTAATGAATTAGTCGTTAAGTTGTAGTTAATAATTCTATTTTGAGTTAGTTCTTAATAGAATTATTACATATTGATACAACACAGCTGTAAAATATTTAATAATTTGAATACGTATTTAAATGTGTTAAGATAATAACTGAATTTCAATTTCAATTTCAATTTCAATTTCAATAATTCAGTTATTTGAATTTCAATATTAAAAAATAATAATATAATAATTATTATTAAATTAACTTTATTAAAATATTTAGGAATTAGTCTAGGCCAACTAATTACTAAATATTATTAACATATTGAAATTAATATATATTAAATAATGTAAACACGTAATTGTCATATTAAATTAATTTCTACATATTATATTCTTATATTTTATTTATATTAAATATTTATATTACTATCTTACTTTATATTATCAATATCAAACTTATATTAATACTATTACATATTCATATTAATAATTAATATTTTAATAATTAATTATTTTATATAAATACATGTTTAAATCTTTGATTAATCCTTTGTAGGATTATTGTAATTTAAATTATAGTAATAATTATATAAAATAATAATGTAATAAAATATTATTAATATTAAATAAAACTTATATTTTAAATAAAAAAAAAAAAAAAAAAACTTATTTATTACTAATAATAATATGTTTTAAATAAGAGTAAAATTAAGTTATTAATTAATTACTATAATTTGGCATCTTGACCTAATCGTTAAGACCAAATTATCACAAAACTTTAACAAAATGTAATGTAATGTAAATTATTGTGGATAAAAATGTTTTCCAAATTTTTAATATAAATTTAAATGTATTCCAAATTATTAATTTAAATAATTTTCTCAAAAATTTATGACTAAATTATTTGGAGAATTTACGTAACAATTACTCAGTTTGAATCACGAAACTTCATAAATTAAAAAATAATTAGTCATTAATTAGTTAAATTAAAATAATTAAAGGAATATTGCCTTTTCCGTTTGTTTACAAAAACTTGCCGTTTTGTTTACTTGTCTTTTAAATTATAGAAATTCTAAAAATAAAAATAGCAAGTTTTGGTTTAGTAAATTGGTTTTCACAACTTGGCAAAATTTAAATTAAATATATGGATAGAATATATTTAATCATATAATTAATGAATTAAACTCTAAATTTTCTTCATAGAAAATTTTAGAAAAATTAGATAGTTTTAAATAGGATTTATATTAAAATAATTCATAACATTTCATGTAATTTATTATATAATGTAATTGATAATATAAAATAATATTTTTATGTAATTTATTAAAATTTATTTTGATTTAAAACTTTATTTTGAAAAAGTATAAAAAGAGTTAATTTTTCAACTATTGAACGATAGTTGGAAAATCGTATAGTAATAGGAAAATTTAAATTTTATTATTAGTTTCGTAACTATTATTAGAATAATTATTTTCTTATAAAACAATTTTATTATAGTTTGTAAAATCTTAACTGCTAGTGGGAACTCCGGAAAGGATCCTGCGTTACCCAGTTAAGTGGTTGTTGAAAATTAGTTAATAAATAAGATAAATAAATAAAAGAAATTAAAAAAAAAAATAATTAATTAATTAATAGAGTTTTAGGATATAGTGTTATTAGTGTAGTAAAGTTAGTTTAGAATAGCCACAAACCTAGACTTGATAAGTATTTTATTTTACAACAGCTAGAAATACGCAAAAAAATTAACAAAAGAGAAAATCCTATAATAATATGGTGAAAAATAATTACAATATATAATATACTAAATCATTATATAAATAGATTAAAAATTAATTAGACAGCCAATAATATTCAAGATAAAATTAATTAATAAATTTAAAAGAAGAAAATGAAATAAAAGTTAAAGAGAGAGTTTTCTTGTTGTTTTAAAAATTCTAATTGAGTAAAATAATAGTTTTAGAGAACTTATAGTTTAGTTTAAATAATTAAGTGATTACTTATAGTTAAAGAATAAGAGTTGAATCCTACAATTATAAGTAAAATTATTATTAAAATATTAATATAAATTGAATTATTAGAGATAGATAAAAATCATTATATTCAGAGGAATATAAATATAATTGTAATAATTTATGTAAAATAAATAAATAAATAAAAACAAGATTTAAAAAGAAATAAATAAATTTTATTATTTGTGTAAATTATTATTTATTATCTTTGAGTTGGAATATATTATTTTACAAATTCCCTATTTGCTCGACCTCGTTATAAATAGAAATTTGATACTTTATTACTTATATTGTATCATTATTGGTAAAGAATGAATTAATAACCTTTATTTTATTATTAATAATTCTTTACTAAATTGTACTTTCCTATATTCTTGATAACCTAAACTTAATAATAAAATTTAATTTATTTTAATATAAATTAATTTTAACTTGTAAATAATGTAAATAAATTTTAATTAATTACTTTATTGTTATATTATTAAATATATGTATATATTAAAATACAATTGTAAATATTAAAATTATACTTTTAAGATACTAAATTATTAAAACTATTAATTAAATATTATTATAAAAATTATTATAAAATTATTAAAATTATTAATTAAATATTATTCTAAAAATTATTATAAATTATTAATATTA